TTCAGTTGTTAGGGGCTGAGTTCTCTCCGAACTTCAACAATAGGCGGTTCATTGCATCCAGGGTCAAAGGAAAGAAAACTAGGTATCCTTACAAGGGTGCGGTAGATTCACGCTAGGGCAGCTTCTTATCTTATATAAAGCACAAGTTCGGTTGTGCGCGAATTACTGCTCTCACATATGGGCTGATGTTTCAAAATGCTACCTAGCAGCGTTAAACTCAGTGAAGAGACGTGCTAAGAAGATCATGTCAGGCTCGAGAACATGTACAGAATTGCCAGCCTCTCATTATACTATAGGATGCATTTTGGTAAGTGAGCGCAGGAGTTATGAGCTTTAATTCCTCTCTCCTTTGCACCACCGGACAACCAGGCAGTCGGCTGATCTTCACCCCTTTGTTATCTATGTTCCACGCATTAGAACCAAACGGTTTGCTTAACTTTCTGTAATGCGTACAGCAAAAGAATGGAATAATTTATCGGCTTCTATCTTTTGGTCCCGCCTAAGAGCCGTGGTAGCTCAGTGGTTAACGCTCGCTGTAAATATAACAGAACGCGAGTAACCCGGGTTCGAACCCCGCCGGCACCAATGAAATTGTTAATTGCAATTTTAAGTGCTGATTTACCACGTGCTCGGCGGTGAAGGAAAAACATCGTGAGGAAACCTGCATGTCTGAGGAATAAGAAAAAAATATTTCGAAGACATGTGAAGTTCGTCAACACGCATTTGGGCAGCGCGGCGGACACTTCCTTGCCCTAAACCCTCTCAGAAATGAGGGGAGGCCTGAGCCCAGCAGTGGGACGTATATAGGCTGTAACTTTACTTTAACTTTACTTACTTTATCTTTTGGTCCGAATACAATCTGGGCGTCTTCAAGGCAAGAGTGAATAAGCTTTTGTTGCGCTAAGACAGTGCAATTTTTTAGCGGTAGAGCCATGCTGCAGCCATATTACTGCTATAGTTATAGCAGGAATGGGTTGGCAGAAGGACCATACTCTCACAGAATATCAGCATAAAATAGAAACTAAAAGCTACTGTGTATCGTATGGTAAGTGTAGAGAACCGGAGACCCTTTTTACTGGAAACGAGGCATTCCATCTTAGTCCTCACGGGTGACAACGCATCTGCATTTTGATTCGTAATTGAGGATAGATGTAGATGTCTATGAATCACGGCAGTCACTTAACATCAGGCGGACTATGTGGTCATTTGTCACCTTTATCCTATAAAAAAACCCTCTAGGACTACACTAGCCCTTACCACCAGGTGTTGTGCCCAAGCACAAAAAATATTATTACCGTTAATTGAATTTCATCAAAACAAGTGATCAAGTTTGACGAACCCGTTCCGATCTCAACTATATGGCACAGCTTACAAGCAGGTAACGGTGAAAAAAAGCAGTGCTGTTAGCACTCGTAATACTCCCTATATTAAGTATATGCTTTAGTGTTTTTTATTATTCTTTTAATTTAATACCTAATTTTTAAAATCCATTCTTAAAAGTATAAGGTATTTATTATGAGTGTAAATAGCACTTCTCTTTCTTCTACTGCTTCTTATTTATCAGTTCGCTATAATCTACTGCGCGGTATATTAAGTCTCCTTCATAGCTGATAGGACTTGACAAACTTGTCGCGCTTGTTAGGTGTATTGGTGATCGAAGTACCAATGCTAGTATTCATCTTGATACTGTGCTCGGGTGACGATTTGAGTATTTTTCATCTGTCGTAGATGGTTACGTCACCATCTATCGGCAATGAGATACTCGTATTTCTAGAATTTCTTAAAATCGCCCTTGACTCTCACATTTTACAGGTGATAGAGACACGCTACGGCTATATTATGGTTGTAACACGAATGGGTTGGCTTTACCGGGGAAGGGCATGCCTTCACGGAATATCAGCGTAAAATGACAGCTTTATGCTGTTGCGTTTCGTATGGTGAGTGTAGAGAACAAAAGAACCTTTTTGCTGGAATTAAGGCTTTCCATCTTAATGCTCAGGGGCGACAACGCATTCGAATTTTGGTTCTTAATCGATGATAAATGTTGTTTTAAATGTTGTCTTAAACGAGGATGGACTGTTATTTTATTTAAAAAAAAAACATAAGTGGAATAGATTCTCTTACGCCACCAGTACACGGTACGGAAATAATTCTAGTGTACTTTAAAAAACAAAAATAAAAAAATTGAAGAGTCGCTGGAAACGATGTATCTTTCTTTAGAATTAAGTATTATTACTGTCGTCTCGAAGTTTGATAGTTTTCGAGATTATTATTCAATTTATACTATTCATGTACAACTGACATCAAAGTTTTGCAGTTAGTGCAGTTATTTTTTAATTGAACTTTAGATGTGTTTTTTACCGGCGCAAACCAATTGTACTGATTTCAATTAAAGATTAAGCCTGGATTCAATTCGAGCGATGCTTTGTTTTAAATATGCATTTATTTCAAAACAATATTTTGTCTCTTTTTTATATTTTAATATAGCTCATCAAAAGTCTACTGCCGCATCCAAACAGTCACAGATTAGAGGCAATTACTAATATGCCATGGCTGCCACGCTTAGAAGTAGGAGGTTGGTGACAACTGTTTCTTTATATGGCTGATTTCTTATCAGGAAGATGCTGCTGTCCATCTCGTATTAATTCAATAATCTAATACCTCATACGAATACCTCGGGACGATATGGGGTAGTAGATTGTTTTATGCTGCCACTACACGCCATGGGTTTTGTCTTTTAATCATGTCGTTTCCAACAACTTCAAACAAATAAAGCTGCACATTCGTTGTCACTTCTGAAGACTAAGATGGAATGCTTCATAGTCTGTAATTATACTGGATATCTATAAAATGTGACCGTTTCCTTATGTGAGAAATTGCTAAGGATATCTATACAATGTGACAGTTTCCCTATGTAATAAATCGCTAAGTAGATTCTACCTACCTAGACCTATGCAAAAAGTGAGCTCTTCCATCTAAAACCTCTACGGTTTTTGTCAGTTCCTACAAGAAACACATTAAGTATATTGCTACGTCAAGCTGGTATACTGTGTGAGAGTGGTCCTTTCCTGATCGAGCTGACCTATTCTTGCTTCAACCATTATATAGAAGCGATATGGCTCTCTACGATTATTTTTAGAAAAAATATTAGTAATATTATTATTAATTAACTTTACTAATATTCCCTTTAACCACTCCTGGTAAGGTTTACGACATTAGTCAAATGGCGGATTCGAACCCACGACCTTTGGAGTTCGCGATCCACGCCCTGCCATTAGGCTACTGTCGCTTCTGATTAACATTATACTATAATGTTAATCAGAAGTGAAAATTAACATTATATTATAAGGATATTGGGTTTGTGATTGTGTAAGAGATACGTTAACTACCTCCCACTTTTTTCGATAAATCCATAATATTTTTTGGCTAAACGTGTTCTGAGTAGCTCTTAGGTGTTCTTTGAATTTTGCCTAATCCCACGAGGCGTAGAGGCGTGGTTCTGTGTATGTTCTTATCTTTTATTGAGTATTGTGGTGTTACAATAAAGTTGTTGAAATATCCCCGTGGCTGCTTTTTGGGGTTCCGTACCCAAAGGGTAACCAACGGGACAAAATTCCTAAGCCTCCGCTGTCCATACGTCCGTCCGTCCATCGGTTGTCAGCGGGCTGTATCTCATGATCAGTAATAGTTAGACAGTTGAAAATTTCAAAGAATGTGTATTTCTATTACCGATATAATAACAAGTACCTAATAAAAATAAATTAAAAATTAATGCGAGCTCCCCTACTACAAACGTGTTTTATGATGGTACGGAACCCTTTATTTGCGAGTTCGACTCTCACTTGGCTGTTTATTTAAATATAACATTCCCTTTATCATCACCTATCGATAAGCAACCCAAGGACGTCTGCAGTTAATTCAGTAAATAATAAATATGGGTAAATGGACTCTGATAAGACACTCTAATCATTTCGAGGCGAAGTTTAAAAACATTTTTTCTCTTTAGCTTCGAGGAAATGAGGAACATTCTTTGTTCGTTATTAGTTTAGTTTCTGTTTTTACTGAATTTTAGCATTTTAGATTTTTTCTTAAAAAAATCCAGTTAAGATCGAGTCACGTACGCTAAATGATTATTGACCTACATTAAAAAAATCGGAGGGTGAAAAGTCTATGACAAAGCTTTTATCTATTTGTAGATAAAATTGTTTTAATTTCAAGGAATGATAATAACGTTTCAAGATATTCTTGTACACAATTTGAATATTTTACCTTCACTTGTTATATTAATTAATTATTAGCCTATAATCATCTCCGATCACGCCTTTTATGTAGCAGTATTTCAATGCGTACTTTAGAGTAAATAGGCTATCAAACAGTCCAGCTAAAGGTAATCAACACTAAGGATTTTTTTTAATTTAGCCCTCAGTTGTGACAACTCATATCTGTCTTACTGGTTCCAAGTTCGTTACAATTGTCCATGGACTGCAACAGCGACTTAATATAAGGTAGATGTTCCGAATGTCCAAAGTGTAGACGGTTTGTTATTCTCATGTTATGAAACTGTTGAATTCAAAAAATGTTTGTTTTGAATTTAACCCTTAAACAAACGCGGGTCCCTGTTTATGATATTAAGAAAATTACAATGGATTCTGGGTAAATCATGATCCCCTTCATTTTTAGTGACAAAAATATTAAAAAAATAGGGGATGAGGGTGTTTTTACGGTGGTAAATAATTTACCTTTGTCCATATAGAACATCAATATTCAAGATGTAAGTGGTAAAATTATTACCATTGTCCGTTTAATTTTATTTATATGCTTCTATACTAGTTGTTTCCTTCTGTTCCAGTAAAACAAGTATTTTTTTTAACTTTTATTTGAACAATCAATTCTAATCAAATTTTACATTTAACTTAATATTTGTATATTGGCACATAACTTTGGCAAATTGCAAAAACTAAGATGGATGGATTAGGATTGAACTTATGATATTGGCCTGACTAATTCTGGCTTTGAGCAGTGTGAAACATTTTAAAACATGACTTGGCGCATAGTGCAACTCCGCACATAGAACAACGAATTTTCGAGCGCTTTTGTTCTTTTTTGGTGCTACAAAACCTACATCTTTTATAGGTTTCTATTTCCTCAGGCATATGTACACCAACGTTCAGGAGCCCTATTTCGTCAGGAACTCTGAAGTTACCTCCTTTTTTGTTCTTGAACACTATCTGCTTATTCTTCTTCTTTGTAAAGTTATCTATCATACTGCGAGCTAATTTCAAGCGGAAATTTCTATGTGAATGGGTATTTACTACATGAGCTGTATTAAATGCTATGTATGCATTGATGATTGCCGAATCACACATAAAAATAAATAATCGCATCCAGTACTTCTGTGATTTTCGATCTATTGGATAAGAAGATCGGAAGTGATCAAAGTGATTCACACCACCCATGGTAAGGGTGTAATCAGCAATAGCCTCAGGGCATAGAATATTTTGCCTCGAGCCGTCTTTCTGTGTCCTTTTCACAAATACTACGGCACGCTCTTGTTGAGCGGTAGTCAGAACAGACACGTCTCTGGTATTATGCCATTTTATCGCAGTAATTGGCCCAGCAGTGATTGCAGCAAATTGCTGTTTCTCTAACCGCAAACTTTTCGGCTGAACTTTTTTTAAGATACTAGGAAGATCTTTCCTGTAGCTTCGGACAGTACCAACTGCATAGATTCCTTCTTCGAATAAGTCATCCATCAGATTGCAGCTTGTAAAAAAATTGTCAAAAGCTACAAGTGTATTTTGGGGCAGTTCGTTGCAAAGAGACATGACGACATTATACCCTAAACCCTCATTTTCGACATTTTCTCCTTTGCCAGTATATATTTAGAATTGATACATATAGCCGGTTCTAGAATCACATCTTGCCCAGATTTTAAATCCCCTTTTGATGGGTTTTTTCAGCATGTACTGTTTTAAACTACTTCTTCCCTTAAATTTAACCATACATTCATCGACTGATTGTCGGCTTGAGTTACTCATTTCATTTTTAAACACTTTATTTAATTCTGTGATTAAAGGCCGCAACTTGTAGACTTTGTCAAAATTTGGAGAACCTCTGGGTGGCTCCATCTCATTGTCGTTTAGGTGTAAGTTTTCAGTAATTTTTTTAAATCTTTGAAGTGTGAAAACACGTGAAATTTCGGCGTTGTTGTAAAATGGATCACTGGAGCAATACAGTTCCATGTCCGGAAGCGGGTTCAGTCCCATCATTACAAGAACTCCAAGATAAGCTTCGATTTCTTCGCTAGAAACGGGTGTCCAATGATTACTTTTTTTTTTGATGTGCGTATCTATTTGTTTACTCAACAATTATTTCAACAACATAATCGGGGAAAAAATATTTAAAAACTTCGATGGGTTGTGTTTTATGAGTGTAATGTTTATGTGGCTCAGCTTTTTTATCAAACAAAGGGATGGTGCGGAGATCAGCTACAGTTTTCCAGTCCCGTGGTAAAATTTGGTCTCTCTGCGTGCGTGGCGATGATGATTTTGTTGAGTGGACGAGTTACTTTCTGCGACTATAAATTCAGATCTACCGGAATCGGAAACATTGGAGGTCACAAGGTCTTGCACACACGCTAACAGATTGCTTTGCAGATTTGTGTTAATAAATAAAGAAGCAGAGCTATCGGCTGGTTCTTCACTTGTAAGCAGGTCCTGATCAGTAAGTAAAGGATTTTGTTCACTTGCTAGCGGAATACTTTGTTGCAAGCGTGACATGGTAGAAGATAAATCTAGACTAGGTACCCGAGAAATATTGTGATTACAGACTCTAAAATTTCTAAAAGATTGACATTTTGTTGCTCTATAACTTCTGTCCCTGGAAAAACGTCTTCGTAATTGACTTCTGGTCCAAACATTTCCTCTAGACGTCTTTCAAGGACCTGTTCTGCTGGTAAACTTATATAGGAATCTGCAGGACTAGAAACAAAATCTCCCCAACACGGGTCATCATTCTCATCACATTCCGACAAGTCGGAAATATCCTCAAGATTATCCACAAGATTTTGAATCACGTCTTCCGCTAATTTCTTTCTCGCTGACATGCTGATTCTACAAAAAAAAAAGAAAAAAAAAGCAATACGACGACTCAGTTTTAGTTCCTGCCTACCCCCATGTGAAAATGGCATAGTTGTATGTAATTGCTAATGAAGGAGGCCTTATTATAAACAGACAATTTTTATGTATATAATTGTTATTTTTACAAAACGTGAACAGACAAAAGCAAATTATTTACCACTACTTTGAAACTCCAAAAAAAATACACAAATATTTACATTCACGCACAGTAAATAACAAGAAAATAACAAGAATATAGTTTACTATAAGTTTTATAATCACTAAATAACTTACCAGATTCTTTGTTGAAGAAACTCGACAAAAAACTGCAGAACGACGTCAATTTTTTAAATTTTTTCAACAATCTAACGACTTGACAACTTTGACATAACTTTACACTGACAATTGATATTTTTGTGTTGAGTGTTGCCATAAATAAGATAAAGTAAATATTCTAAAATTACAATTTGCCAAAACTAGCTCTTCTAAGGTGATATTAACTGCGTAATTAATAGGATTAAAAAAATACAATGTGGTAATATTTTACCTTTATTTTATTAACGGTTAAACTATTTAATGGTAGTGTTAGAATATCCACTATCCCATATCTTGCTGTGGGTGCCGTGAGAGGCCACAGAGAGCCGACGAGATTGACACTAGCATCTTCTTTATATTAATTTAAAATTATTAAAAAAAAACCTGTGGTTACCAACCCGCCTGCTCAGCATGGCAACTATAACAAGATCCCTTTCCCTAAGAGGGACTCCATGGGAAGGGCCTATGTTTAGCGGTGGACCTTTATTGGCAGTAGAGAATACAATGGATTGTATAAAGAACTTGACATAACAATGTCAGACTTGAGTGCTGCCAAATAATGATCCGTCAGCAACGATAATACATTACCAGCAGTAGAACGGACTTACGAAACGGAGAGTAATGTTATACAGTAAAAAGTTTGATGACATCACGTCGTAACAGTTATTTTTATCGTACGATTTAGTTATCACAGATCGTCACGTGGCCATATTTTTGAAAAAAAAAGTTAAAATTTGGATTGATTAATTTGGTAACAAACAAGTAACTAGCCCCGCCTTTGTAAAAGAAAATAAAAGGTTTGTAAAGAAATATAATATATTTCTTTACAAACCTTTTATTTTCTTTTACAAAGGCGGTTTTACAAAAGGGTTATGACCGATAGACGGATACTGTCCCTCCGTCCGCACACAACATTTTTAAAAATGGTTATTCAAGTAATAATATCTTGTAAATAACCCCAGGAGCAAACAAAAACCATTTATTTCAATAATACAAACAGACATTTCAATTTTTATTTATATGTATATATATATATTATACAGGTTTTTTGAAACATATTTTTTGTATAATAAAACCTAATGGTATAGTAAATATCCTGTGACATTGGACGAATAAATATAATTTCTCTTTCGCACTGTTTTTAATTTATTTGTGCCTGCAAGCGATAACGCCTTGAACACAGATAAGATAACGCATACGATACACTCAGTTGTTAACCAAGTTGCGTGATTTATCATAATGAACTTAATTTAAAAAAGACATTTTAGTGCTAAAATAAATCAATAAACAGGTTACCTACCGATCTGTTTGTTATGTTTGTCATTTTGGAAGCTCCTGGACGTACCTTCAAGTGTTATGGAAGTATTGTGTTTATTTTATATCGGATAAAAAAGTATCCGTTCTATCATCCAATAACTACGCGAATGAGTGTTATTGTGTTTGCGTGAACAGTTATGTAATATCACATAAAAGGGGGATTTCAAAAGAATTTATACCTTATTGTTAGATAGTAAAATGTATATATAATTGTATAGGCTTATAACTTATATTCCCGGATAAATTTAGTACAGTAATTATGTCTCATATTTTCATAAGGTAATCGCTATTTCGTGAGAATGTGATGGGAATTCCCTCAAAGCAATGGACATCAGTTAACATAATTTCTATGCGTACAGATTCTTTACCTTTCCTGAGTACTAAGATGGATTTACTTTCAGTAAAAAGTGTATCTGGTACTCTACACCCATCTTACCAAACACAGAAGCATTAAGCTGCTAATTTACGCAGGTATTCTGTGAGAGGATGACGCATTCTCCGGTCGAGCTGACCTATTAGTGCTGCAAAAAATAATGCAAAAATGATATATAGCGAATAGGCGTAGCGTGGCTCTACTATATTAAGCATATAAAAATATTTATGAAAAATGATAATTATGTCGGATATTAACCAACAAACAAAAATAATTCCAAATTTAGCAGGCTAATCTTAAGTTAATTTTTAATTAAGATTAGCAGTAACATATTGTTACGAGCTTGAGGTTCGTGACAGTAATAGCTGCCGATTGAATTACCAAAATTGACATTTTAATTACCGAACACCAATTACAACTTAAAACACACTAATAATAAAATACAATTGAACCACTGATCACTTTAGTATCGCAATTATATTGCTTCAAAGTATTCGCTGTATCGCCAATTCAATACTCACTCGGTTCGTGGTCGATACTAGCCTTATATAGGGCATTTTCTACCGAAACATCACAAACAATACAAACATTGTTCGAGTACATACCGGTCCCGACTGACTAGGTGTAGAAGGTTCTAGCATTGAAATTTCTGGAAAGATCTTGACTCTTAGTTCTGCTACTCGATACTAGATGGCGTTAGTAACTAACTCGCCATGTACCAGACATTAATTATGGCGCGCTAGAATATTACTAGGTTCATCAATATGTTTTTGAAAACGCGGTGTAATTATAGGATAAGTACCTATATGTAAATTGTATTTATTTTCAACCTTATACCCTTTTTAGCTAATACACCCTGAATAACCTTTTGCAAGTTGGTAAATTCCCTTGGACACATCACCTCATCGTCGCCGTTGAATTTTATTCCACGTAAGTGCTTTTTACGGTGAAAATCATTCGGAGCTAGGTCACGAAATTTTCATTGACATTTTTTCTTTAGATCTTCTCGTAGTTTTTATTAATGATGCGTAACAATCTCCTGTTATTGTCTGTTGATAGGTGCTCCAGGTCAATTCCTTGAAACTGGTAATGAAGAATAAGCGTCATAACCTTGGAGTATCTAGTTTCTTTAAGCATGAATCTCGCTTACTAGGTGACATCCTCTTACTTATTTATATCGCCAAATAGCGGTGCTCGCACTGCTGTGTTTCGGTCTAAAGGGTATAGAGACAGTATAATTTACAGGCAGTGCAATTACAGCAGATGTACTGCAGCCAGTAACCACTTACAATTAGATAGACTGTAAGCCCGTTTGTCACTTCAATAAGACCATATCTTCTGTAAAGTTGATAGCTTCATATACTCGTAACTAAGTGGCAGTTTAAAGATTGGACTCAATTTACTAGTAATCGACACAGAGTTCTTTGTTTACGCAAATTTGTAAAAAAGTGACTTTTCGTTTTTACCCTTGACCTTTTATCGATTGTGAAAAATCTTATATTAATTTATTTACCTGTGCTTTTTAAATCTGATTTCTCAATTTCACTTTTTAATTAATTAGTTACATTATGGTAGCCGCTACGCAAAATTAACTGATCTACAAGAAGTCTTACTCTGTAGTTATTGAATTAAAGTTTCAATTAAGCCTTAAGTCGTAAAATCTGGTTATTATAAGCTTAATACTCTGTGGTCCAAATGAGGGATAAAAAGTAAATAAAATAAATCTGTTTTACGACCTCCACATGCGGTCAGCGAAATAAAGGTTTGCGCAATTAGCCCACAGTTTTATGATATGAGATATGATATCAAACAATGAGTTATGTTAAGTTTGATTGGCTATAATAATAATCCTATTAGTTATAGAAAGGTATAAAGATTGCCAAGTAGCAGTCTCACATTGGAAATCGTGGTAAGAGGCAAACTTCTACTACATGGTAGGGATGGGCAAATGAAGAAATATCGATAAATATTGTATCGATGTCTACAGTTCAATAAATCAGCAATTTTACCTAAAGTCAGAAATTCTCCGAAATAGACCCAATCCCGCCACAATTGCATACACGGTTTTAGCGGAAACTTGCCTACCGGCGAATGTGAATGGAAATGAACCGGCTGTTTTAGCGTCTAAGCAATGCTTTGAATATGATTCTGATTAATTAAAGTTTTTGATTAAATTGGATACTGAACTGCGTTCGAACAAAAAAAAAAAACATGAAATGTGATACCAACTTAAATTGGTGTCATTTTTGATATATGGAAACCGAAAATATTGTTGATATACGATTATTTTACGAGAAACGTCGGTATTTTGATATATCGATATATTCTACCCGAGCATACTACCTAGAGGACCTAATTAGACAGTGTCGATGGATGTTTGTGCCTCGGGAAAGTGCTTTGTGGCAAATAATGAAAGAGTTCTAACTTTATCAATTGGCTTGAGATAGGTTGTAGTGATGATGTTAATGAATTATATTGAATCATAAGTTAAGATTTTTGCCTATATTGAAAGGTTTTCCTAGAGATCTTTTACATGATACGGTAGAGCTACGCAGCAGTTATATTATGGTTTTAGCACGAATGGGTCGGCTCGACCGGGGCAGGACCACGCACTCACAGAATAGCAGCGTAAAATAGTAGCGTAATGCTGCTGTGTTTCGTATGGTGAGTGTAGAGATCCAGAGACCCTTTTTACTGGAAACGAGGCATTTTATCTTGACCCTAACGGGTGACAACATATCTGCATTTTGATTCATAATCTAGGATGGATATAAATGTCTATGAGTCACAGCAACCACTTATCATCAGGTGGACTATGTCCTCGTTTGTCACCCTATCCTATAAAAAAAACTTGGTATCGTTGAAACGGTTGGCGAGTTTGTAACTGTAGTCGTGTAGCCCAACATTCAGTAAACTCAAGTGGCAATGGGCCGGCCATATTTTACGAGGTAGAGTCACGCTGCAGCTATATTACTGTAGTAG